CTTCAGCTTCTCCCACCTCTGCCCCCCTGCAGTGGTTCCCTTCAACTGCCGGTGGCAGAAGCGGGTTTGGGGGAGGCTGCCCTGCAGGGGGGGTTTGGCGGGAATCCCCTCTGTGGACTCCTGGCGGCCACCCCGCAGTCACCGCCGGGCCAGTCTCGGAGCAGAGCTGCACCCACGGACCAGGTGAGAGCAGGAACGGCTGCAGAGCTCACTGCCTGCCTGCTGGGAAGAGGGACTGGCCTTCTTCCCCCCGCTTGTGGGGGGCCCTGTGCCTGTAGGCCACGTCGGGCTCTGCTCATTTCCAGAGCACCAGGTGGTTTGCCAGCTGAGGAGTGTGGCCGGCATGCCCCCTTACTTTGCCCCAGAGATGCCCACCGGGGCCTGGTCTCAGTGCTTGGGACTTCGCTGGCGGGGGGTGACCCGGAAGGGGCCCAGTTGCAACTGTCTGCCTGGGAGGCACGAGATCTTTGACTTCTCCTAACGGATGAACCTGTCTTTCTGCCTGCTGTTTCGGAAACCGAGCATCGCATTCCCATTTTTTTTCCTGGCTCTGTTGAGGGAGGAGAGAAGATTTTGGATTCTGGAGGGAAATCAGAGGATCCCTTGACCAATTCACAAGCTATCCTGTGTAGGACTGTTTCCCACATGGCACAGCTGGCCCAAGGGGTGAGGATGGCCCAGCTGACAGGCTTCTCTAGGGTTGTTGGGCATCCAGCGTGATGGTGCCATACCCCGTCCAACCCCCGGATTAGGCAAGTGCTCCTGGAGGGAGAGAAGAGGCAGCCGGGATCAGGACACAAAGAGGTGGAGGAAGGTGGCCCAAGAGCTCAGGAAGAGCTCCTACCCTCTGGAGCTTCAGGACAGGTTTTGGGGCCTCCCTCTCTGTTGATATTTCTGAAGAGGTGGAAGGATGGGCGCGGTGATCAGAGAGAGACTGATTGCCCTGGCCGCATCAAGCCGTGAAACCTCCTTAGGAAAATGAGGGTGGAAGAACATCTCCTTGTCTTCGTGCAGAACTATGCACAGGATAGGAAGCCTCTGGCTGAAAAAGACTGGCAAAGGAGGGAATCGAGGCTCCTCTCCCCTTATTTATTCAGCCTCCCAGTTCGTTCCCGGCCTTCAGGGGGAGCTGACCCCACACGCCGGAACCAGCTTCCTCCTGCCTTCACCTCTGTGGAAGTCTCAAGGTCTCAGAAAGCCCTATAAGGACCCACCAAGCCAACGGAGCGGTCTGCCGCGATTCGTAGGCTTGTGTAGGGTTTGGTTACCCCATCGCACGCTCGTTACTCCGAAAGGCTCCTTGGTAAATACCCGTTTCAATTTAATTATGTGACAAGCTCCTCATATCACAGGGTGCTATTTTAAATGGGCATGGTTGTTAGTGCTTAGTTTGTTTTAGTGTTGCTATTTGTTAACTGGATTAGCCATTTTGCTGTGAACTAATTTTATTGGGTAGAGTTTTGTAACTTTAATTTGTACCATGCCTTGCTAAAGAAGTAATAGTAATAGTAGTAGTACAGTAGTAGTAGTAATAATAATTTATTAATATGAACTACACAGTCATGTGAAAAGCCAGCAAGTGATGTGTTTGGGTGAGCATCTTGAAGCAATGGGCCCGGTTTTCTTCCTTTTTCTACCGACATGGCCAAAAAGCCCCTTTTGCTTGTGAACTGAGCTGGCTTGTGCGGTTTGGGGCTTCTCACTTGCATCCTGCAGGTACTTGCTGCTTGCTCGTAGGCCTTCTTGGCGATTACGTTCATCTTCCCTCTTGCTGCTTTTTGCTTTCCTTTGAGTTTTAAATCTTCTTACATGTTGATTTGATTTGATTATGAGCCACCAGCTCTCAGCAGCCACGCAGATACATCTTCCTCAGGAGGATCTGACCCTAACTGGGCCCTTCCTGTCTTCCATTTTTGTTGCTGAGTCCCTCCACTCTGCTGCCGGTTGTCATCTTCTCTTTCCTTCCACCTTTCCTAGCATCACAGCATCACGTGTCCAAAGTAGGACCGTTTGAGCCTGGCCATTTGTGTCTCAAGTGAGAACTCTGGCTGGATTTGCTCAATGATCCGTTGTTTTGTTTCCTGGGCCGTCCGCGGTCTTCTCAGGGTCTTCTCTGATCCCAAAGCTCAAAGGCATCCTGCCCTGCTTCTTTAAAGCCCAGCTTTGGCTTCCGTAGAGATCACGGGGAAAGCCACTCCCTGCATGATTCATTTCTTTCTACGTATCATGGCGCTGGAAGATTTTTCCACGGCCTTCATGGCTGCTCTACCAAGAGCTGGCCCGTGGCGTATTTCTTGACTGCTTGTTCCTTTCCCGTAGATGGTTGATCCTAAAAGGCAGAAGCTCTCCACCGCTTCGATTTGCTAATTATCAGTTCTGAGGCCGGCTGCTGTACCTGTTGTCATTAGTTGGGTCTTCTTTATATTTAATTTTAGTTCCATTTTTTTCACTACATTTTTATTACTAGAGTTGCAGATCCTTTGCATTTTCACCCTATCAGAGTAGTGTCACTGGCACAGCGCAGGTTATTGATGTTTCTTCCTCCAGTTTTAAAACCACGCTCATCTTCTTCCAATCCAGTTCCCCTTAATTTATTCAGCT